CCCAGCCATGTCGACTGGTGGTCTAACTGCCATCGAGCGTAAGCTTTCCAATTGGTGTATCTCATTGTTATATGACTCAGGTTCCTCGTTGTAAAAATCTTGTATGTACTGTAAAAAAAAAAAAGAAGAAATACACAAGGGAAGCAAAAACAGAGAAGCAAACGAAAAATCATCAAAAAATGACGACTGTGGTGACAAGTTGCTCTTAACACTTTGACATTTCGCGCAAACAGCGGATTTGCGAAGCGTCGCGAAAATCGACTATATAATTAGATATGAAAGAAAAAGAGATAAAACTCGGTACCTGTTTGAGCTTCGGCCCGAAAGTGGTCGGCTCCGGACTGACTTTTAGTTGAAACCATATCATCGGCAATCTCGGCACTGCCTCCATGTCGATGCGCTTTCCTCACTTTGTCAAACTCGTCGAACGTTGACAGTCGGTCATCTGTCAAACTTGTCGGGGGTGGTGGATTCAATCGACGACAACATACACCACTCTCCGATCACGACTACATATGAATACGTATAAGTGACGAGAAATGTCCCCTTGAGTTGCGTACACAATCGCGAGACGGCGATAGTTCATGGAAGCGGCCACGGAGTCGCTCGACAGGTACGAGACCTTATTTTAGAGCGGGAATTTCAAATTTCAAATGTGACGGCAGTGACTTATGTACGTTTACACGTCACTATTTAATCGAGTTTAATAACACGTAGATCTGTAGTTATGAAACTGACCAATCACAGTCATTTTATTCTTCAGAAGAACAGCTATGCGTGGCTAGTTTAACAACAGATGTTATTAAATCCGATTATAAGAGTGACATGCACAAATGTAGTCAATGTCAGGGTTCAAAGTTTTCGCCTGAGCATGTACGATCGAGAGGAGCAAATAGCGCGGAGTCTAGGCGTCGCGTGCGTGATAATTGCATGTCGGCGAGCGGTAAAACAACAACAATCGCAGATCGAAAATAACTGGAATTGATTTCCGCGATCACTGACCTACGGTACCACCGGAGCGAGCATTTCCGTCGTCGCACGTGTTCGCTCGATTTAGCGATAGCCTGCCTCTCGCGGATATACCCGGTCTGGGTGTATAATCGACATGTTGCGGACGGCATTAAAAATTACGACGCTTCTCTGGTCGCCGCCGTCGATAATTATTGCAGAAAGATTTTCACCAGGAAGCCAGCCGACGCGCCGCCGATGATGAATATTCACGCGGTAGCGTCAGACGTTACAGTGGATGGAGTCTATAAATGGATACATCTGGTTGAATAGTCCTGTTTTAACTTGGAGGAAACTGATCAGTTTTGTCGAAAACTATAAACACGTGAACCGAAGGTGAATAACCGAAGCGATTTTGTTTCTCAAATGCCACCTACCGCTTTGGATTGCCGCGGTGAAGAATGTAAGAATTAAATGGAGAAAGGTGCGCATCTCTCCGGCGAGTCGCGTCGAAAGGGCACATCGCTCTTGAACTTTATCTGAACTTTACGTTTCGCGATTCGCTTCCAGAGACGAACGCTCGCATGAATTTAATTATAGTTTAATCCAATAGAGAGCCCGTTTAATTCCCATTCAATTTCGAGTTAAGCCTAATACAGTTCCAAATCTCATTTCAATTTAAGCCCAATTTTTAGTTACACGTTCAC